TACTAGAAAAAAAAAAAAAAAAACCTGGAAAACTGTCAGAGATGATGCTGTGAGCTCCCAAATCATGGTTTTCCTGGGCAACACAGTGAGACTCTGTCTCAAAAAAAAAAAAAAAAAAAAAAACTGTGAGAATGTGATTGTGGGGCTGCCTGATGCCCGGATGCCACTTGGACAGCGCTGGTGGTACTAGCGGCGGCAGCCGTCATTAGGGTGAGTGAGCGCTGGAACGAGTGCTTCCTGTATGCCCGGGCACTGTGACTAGGGCTCTAGAAACATCCTGGTTCTCAAAACGAGCGTGAGAAAGGTACCCCATCCCATTTTGTAGAATAGAAAATTGAGAGTATATGATTAGTTCCAGATTACACAGCTACAGAGCTGAAAACTGAAGATATCCTATCTTAATTCCAAAACTGGTATTCTTAAGCGTTAATACAGAATTTCTTTATGAGCACTGCAAAGATTGGTCCTGGAAAAAATGTTGGCCTCAAAGGTAGCTGTCTCCCACCTAGACACTTTTTCTCCCTCCCTATAATAAACGTTAACATTAAAATTAAAGCTGAAATTGATTAAACTGTAATACGAATGTCACAGGCACAGTACTTCATATGACATGCCTTTTTGAGAAATATCTTGGACTCAGCAGTAAAATTCTACTTAGTTAACAACTAAATCTAGCATCCTGAGAATTCTAATAACTAAACTGTCTACTCAATATGGAAATAAAAGCTTTATCAAATTTTAACAGTATTTTTTATCTTTTTTGATATATATTTTCTTTTTTTTATGTTTTGTTCACCTAGGAAAAACTCATTGTATCCAATGAACAGGAAGTTCTGCGAGTTCATTACAGAGCTGCAAGAACATTGGCCAATCAAACGCTGCCGTTTAGTGCTTGTACTGTTTTACTAGATGCAGAAGTATACAATGTACCATTGGACTCTCAGGTAAAATGTTCATTGATACATTTAGAATAAATGCTCTCAAAATAAAATGTGGTTATTTTTAGAATATATTCCATAGAAGAAACTTGAATTCAACAGTCATTAAAGCTCAAAAGAGAAAAACAACTCTTTCTGACCAAAGTACTTCCTCATCAACTGGTCCTCTGTTTTCTAAAGCACTCTAAACATTTAGATTTATATTATGGAAGCAGATAATCACCACATAGAAATGTGTTTAGGATAGTGCCCTTACAGGTAGCATGTAATTTGTTTCTGAAGTAGATGTTTATACATTTAGTTCTGGCCTTCAAGCTGCTAAAAAGCTATGCTGAAAATCAGTGCAGGCAGGTGGCACCTATACATTGTGATGGTACTAAAACAGGACGAGGCTCCTGTTTTGATGTTGAATCTTGGGGGAATGTGTTAATCGTGAAAGACTAGAGCAATATCTTTAATAAAGTTTATTGCCACATAAAATTATATGCATTCAGAACCAGTCATATCAGTTGTGGGAAGTTTTTTGTGCCTCGTAAACCAGAATGAACTCATGAGTGAGAAGCGAGAGAATATAATGATTAAAATTTTAAAAATATAAACACAGTGAAGCATTATCGCTCAAGAACAGACTAGGAAATGTTTTTTTAAAGCAGATAAACTAGTAATACAACGTATAATAGAGAATGTTACAGAGAAAGATTCTTAGCCCCCTCTGGGCTTTATTTTTCTCATTTGTAAAAACAGATTGAATTAGATAAGTGGATTTCAAACTCTAAGACACCAACTGTTTTATTTCTTCAGAAATGTCTCAAGAGAGTGTTAAAATGTATAATTGGATCTTAAGGAAGAACTGTTTGACTGTGGAAATAGACACTGGAGAGGCCACTAAGGGACTTTAGAACTTTCAAATTTAAAGATTTTAAAGGGAAGAATGGGTGGTTTTTAATAACTGAAATGAATAGTTCAACCATTTTTCTAGAGGCTAGACTAGACCATGTGGTATCTTCAGGTTTTTTTAAGTTTTGAGCAATTAGTAATGAAATAAATTTTAGAGCAATATAAATGAAGCTTTATAATTAAGCTACAAGGAAAAAGTCTCTTGAAGATTTCTAGTTCAGGATGGTTGCGTAAACACACACACCTGTTTATTTCTTCTTCCTCCCAAAAGTCTTTGAAATGACAAAAGACATATAAAAATAAATCCATAGCAGAGCTAGAAATCGAGGTGGGAAACTACTAAACCAAAACACTAAGGAATTTCTGATAAGATCTAAAACAGATGAAAGCATATTAGTAATAGAATACAGCAGAGCTGAGGAATGCTCAGCAGCCTCATACAGGTTAAAAAGAGAATTTCAGAATAAGTGAATTTTGCAGTAAACCCTCAGAATCATCCCAAAATCAGAGACAAAAGATCATGCCACAATAAGCTTAATAATTAAAGGGCTGAAAAACTTAATCTTTCTCTTGAGGAAAATTATTTTTATGTCAAGCTGAAGAAATTATTGCTTTAGTCTATATTTAGTTTTCTTTGATTTCTACCTAAGACTTGTTTCTTTGTTCTCTCCTGAAAGTAAATGATATAAATTTTCTATTATAAAGGGATTTTGATAACTTGAGTAATTTATTGTACCCTACTCCAAATTTTCTTAGTGATCCAGGCCATCTGATTTTAAACTCAGATTAAGCTCGATGAAATTCTTTTGTGGTTCATAAGCGTGAAAATTGGGTTTTCACACTAATATTTGAGATTTGCCTCTGTCAAACCTTGTTACCACACTGGCACATTACCCATCTGGCCTGACGTGGAAAAAAAATATTTAAATAAGATGCCAAAATGTGAGGCTTGTTCTCTTAACAGAGACACTTATCCTAGAAATATTTCTGCATTTTTAGGGACTTAAATGTGGAACTGTTGCCTGCCCTTTTACAGCTGGCTTTACAGTAGAAAGTCTGTGGGAACAGCCTCTGAGGAATGAAGTGGGGGAAAATGTCTACCTTTTCTTGGGTGGGGGCTTGGATCATCCATTAGCCTAGTCTCTTCTCATTACTTCTTCCTTTTCAAAATAAACTTGTAGTATTAAAAAAAGACTCAACAATAAAATTTAAAATAGTCGAACATCTTACTTGAGGACCAAGGATGAAGTGATAGCTGCTAAAAACTGTGAGAATGTGGCCGGGCGCGGTGGCTCACGCCTGTAATCCTAGCTCTCTGGGAGGCCAAGGCGGGCGGATTGTTTGAGCTCAGGAGTTCGAAACCAGCCTGAGCAAGAGCGAGAACCCGTCTCACTAAAAATAGAAAGAAAGTAATCAGACAACTAAAAATATATAGAAAAAATTAGCTGGGCATGATGGCACATGCCTGTAGTCCCAGCTACTCGGGAGGCTGAGGCAGAAGGATCGCTTGAGCCCAGGAGTTTGAGGTTGCTGTGAGCTAGGCTAACGCCACGGCACTCTAGCCTGGGCAACACAGTGAGACTCTGTCTCAAAAAAAAAAAAAAAAAAAAAAACTGTGAGAATGTGATTGTGGGGCTGCCTGATGCCCGGATGCCACTTGGACAGCGCTGGTGGTACTAGCGGCGGCAGCCGTCATTAGGGTGAGTGAGCGCTGGAACGAGTGCTTCCTGTATGCCCGGGCACTGTGACTAGGGCTCTAGAAACATCCTGGTTCTCAAAACGAGCGTGAGAAAGGTACCCCATCCCATTTTGTAGAATAGAAAATTGAGAGTATATGATTAGTTCCAGATTACACAGCTACAGAGCTGAAAACTGAAGATATCCTATCTTAATTCCAAAACTGGTATTCTTAAGCGTTAATACAGAATTTCTTTATGAGCACTGCAAAGATTGGTCCTGGAAAAAATGTTGGCCTCAAAGGTAGCTGTCTCCCACCTAGACACTTTTTCTCCCTCCCTATAATAAACGTTAACATTAAAATTAAAGCTGAAATTGATTAAACTGTAATACGAATGTCACAGGCACAGTACTTCATATGACATGCCTTTTTGAGAAATATCTTGGACTCAGCAGTAAAATTCTACTTAGTTAACAACTAAATCTAGCATCCTGAGAATTCTAATAACTAAACTGTCTACTCAATATGGAAATAAAAGCTTTATCAAATTTTAACAGTATTTTTTATCTTTTTTGATATATATTTTCATCATTACTAAAAAAGGCATATACCATAAAAAGATATTATAATGGCATAGATTTTTAAAGTGATGTATAAAACTCAACTACTTTTAATGTTCTCTTTTAGTCTGATGACAGTAAAACTTCTGTGAGGGATCGCTTTAATGCAAGACAATTCATGTCTTGGTTACAAGATGTGGATGATAAATTTGACAAATTAAAGGTATGTATGTTTTGAAGTCAGCTTTAAATGAATGCCTCCCCCTTCTTAAACAGAAAGTGCAGCTCCATCAGGGAGAAATAATTAGGAAGGGAAATGCTAGTTAGTCATGAATCCCCACGCTAGCCTACATTTGGAAAGATAAAGGGAAATAAAGACCACAAGTCCATTTTAAAGAGTAAGGTAGTGTAAAAGATGAAATTACCACAAAAAAAGTAGTTTCCAGTGTGGGTGTTCGTGTACCTGTCTCGTTATAGCTCTGTCACATGAGAGAATAAGAGAACAGTACAAGAAGAAACATATTTTGCAAATTTACAAAGTATTTTATTTGAGATTTTGAGTCATTTCAAAAATCATCTCTCCCTAGATTTTCATGATTCCTCTGATAATTTGAAGTCTCATAATTTGGAAGAATATTTTCAAATTAAAGTCTTACAGATGAAAGTGAAGTGACAGACCCAGAAATAATTGGCATGTAGGTACAAACAGGGTAAAACAGAAATGGACTCATAATTCAAACCCATCTCCTGATGTATCCATCTGAGTCCCTAAAGAAACCACAGATGAGATTAATTTTTAAAGCAAATTCAACAAAATAACCAATTAACTCTTCTCTTCTTTTAAATAGACCTGTCTTCTAATGAGGCAACAACATGAGGCTGCGGCTTTAAATGCTGTCCAGAGATTAGAGTGGCAGCTCAAGCTCCAGGAACTTGATCCCGCCACCTATAAATCTATCAGCATTTATGAAATCCAGGAATTTTATGTTCCCCTTGTTGATGTTAATGATGACTTTGAATTGACTCCTATATAGCAGTCATTACTTCCTGCTGGTGTCGTCCTGAACTGATGACGCTCAGGCGTTATACCGTGGAACACTGCCTTTTGACAAAAATGCTGATGGTATGCCTTTATAATTGTTCGTGAAGTTCGATTAAAGTTGGGGTATGTAGTAAACACTGTCATTTTATAAAAAGTGAAGAGAATTATTTTGGGTCTTAGATCCAAACACAGTTTCTAACAGAAAACTGTTATTTATATTGGTGAAAGGTAACTGTTGCATTAGAGCACGTTGGCAGACTATGTGAGGTATTTAAAAAGTTGAGAGTCTAACAGCGCTGGAAGTTGTTAGCACTCTAAGTAATGAGATAACCACTAGTATTCAGATCTCTTTCAGGTTTTATTGAAAATATATCAGTAAACTAAAAGGTTCAATTCCGACCAAATAGTTTCTAATGTGGAAGAAAACTTGGCACACAATTTCTTCAGTTTATTATATCTGTAAATTAATTGTACAGTTTTCTTTTTGAAAGTTTTAATATTGTCTTCCTTTTTAATAACTTATTTTATACATATTGTGCAGATGTAAATCTTGTAATTAATGGTCAAAACGTATACAAAGGGATTGGTAGTCAAAACATGTACAAAAAAAACTGTAAAACTGTTTTGTCTAATGTTTTATCGGACCAAAGTTGTAGTTTGTATGGAGTGTAGTAGTAGTGTGTTCAGGTAGCAAAGCTTTTAAATAAGGCATGCATGTGTTTGAGTTAGCTTGTTTTCATCACCATAACTGTAAAGATTGTGACTTAGTTGTATTGCATGCTTCCTATAATTTAACTCTCTCCATAATGGATGCCTGGAACAGTGTAAGACGTTTCATGCTAGTCTCCTGTGATAGAACCTGTGACTTACTGTGTTGGACATATTATTTAGAATTAGTCATACAAAGAAACTTAGCTCTTTCTTCATCTCACAGTAGAGCCTGTTTTCCCCTGGAAAAAAAAATGCCTTTGAATGAAAATTCTGAAATTGTAAATGTCTATTTTAATACTCAACTATGAAAGAATCTGTGAATATATGTAAATATGTTTAATAAATTTTATTGGTCATGTTAAATCATTGTAAACTTTTTTACATTGCTTAAATTTAATGTTTAAGCTTAATAACCTTTGCACTTTTAAAATAAAAACAATACACAAAAAGATTATTTGGTCATCCAAATAAGTGAAAGAAATTTACAAATATTCCAGTCGATCTCTGAAGTGTTTATGAGAAATTGATTAATATATTGTGTTTTTTTCATTGTATCAAGATGTACAATTTAATTTACAAAATTTTATAATTGAAATAAGATTTGGTATGTTGTTTTATAATTTTAAAAATCAGCAATATCCTTAGAAAAAGTCCAGTTTCTCCTATAACGTGATATAAACTAAATATTCAGGAATTTTTCAGATCCAAAACCTGCTGCTGAACTTATTAAACATTTTTGAAAGGAAAATTAGGTTAGTGTAAAATTCATAAGTATATGAGGTAAAATTTACAAAACTTTCCACAATACTTTCTTGAATTAAAAATAATACTGAATGTTTTCTATTTGCTAAAGAAAAGAAAAGCAACTATGTGGAAATGAAGTGATTTAAATTCAGCTTGCAAGTTGGAAATCCCAGCTAATGGGAGAGAATGTACAAGTTTTTGAGTGCAAAGGTACATATTAAGCTTAGGGATTTTTGAATTTTTACGTCAATTTATATTTTAATTCTTACTGTACTTAGCATGCGCAATAAAGCAGCACGTGTAAAAAAAATACACAGTGCAAGGACTTTATTATAAAAGTTGGATGTAGTTTTCTTTAGAAATGTAGGTGAGAGATTTCGGCCTTTTTTATTTGATAAATGGGGCCAGAAAGGCAGGGTAGATTTTGAAGCACTGGTTTTGTTGAAGTGGAGTTTATTAAGGCTGGGAATATTGAAAGCTAATTTATATAGCAATACTTTTTAATATGAAAAACTTAATGCAAAGTTTGTTTATACTTTTGCCTAAAAAGGAAATTTGATGGGATAGTGTGGCAAATCATAAAAATCAAAAACCAATTATTGAGCATTGAAGTTGTAGGAAATCAGAAAAGGGGTAAGCTCATAGAGCATTTTGTTCTGATGGTCCAACCAGAGAAGGGGGCAATATCACTGGCCAAACAGAACAAGCTTCAGAAGAAAAAAACAAGCAGGAATCCGGCAGATTTTAGTCATCCCAGCTTTTTAGTCTTAACCACAGTTCTCACCCTCTTCAATGGTACCTCAAAAAGCTGGAGACTCTCTGCCATGATTCTGCTTCTACAGATTTATTTCCTTTGTAAAGTGACTGAAAGCTAATCATGATAGCTTAAAAGACAAGTTAATGCCTTCTCATTGGAAATGTATTATCAAGTAAGTAGCCGTGGGCTTTTGGTATTAAAGATATTCCAAAGCTCTGAAATGCTAGAAAAAACTTGGAATGGGGTATATGCCTAAAAAGGTTTTGGATTGATCCTGAAAGAAAAATAAAGGATGGTTAGCTTAATCAGTGATACTTTTTAAACTATTCAAATATCATGAACAAGATACTAAATTGTACCTAAGGATTTGTATTTCTTTAAATCTTGTTCTAAATCATATCTGTTTAATAAATGACTAGTTGATATTTGTGCATGTTATTTAATAAAGAGTTATATTTTTATAGAAAAAATAAGAGTGAAATGTGTGCTAAATGTTTTTTACTTAATTTTCCACTCATGTATGATTGATTGTAAGCCAAACACCAATGTTTACTTGAGCAGCTAGCAAAATTGCAGAAATACTCATCGTGGGAAAACAAATAGCCTCTGAAGAATTAGTCTTTCAAGTTAGAATCTATTCAGTAATAAGAGGTCTCACAAATTTTTGAGTACAGGCATACTTCAAAGATATTGCAGGTTCAGTTCCAGAGATTCACAATAAAGTGAGTCACAAATTTTTTGATTTCCCAGTGCATATAAAAGTTATGTTTACACTGTAGTCCGTTAAATGTGCAATAGTATTATGTCTAAAAATACAGTGTAGGCCTGGCATGGTGGCTCACACCTGTAATCAATCCTAGCACTCTGGGAGGCCACGGCGGGAGGATCACTTGAGGTCAGGAGTTTGAGACCAGCCTGAGCAAGAGCAAGACCCCGTCTCTACTAAAAATAGAAAAAATTAGCTGGGCGTGGTGGCATGCGCCTATAGTCCCAGCTACTCTAGAGGCTGAGGCAGGAAGATTGCTTGAGCCCAGGAGTTTGAGGTTGCTGCAAGCTAGGCTGATGCCACGGCACTCTAGCCCGGGCGACAGAGCAAGACTCTGTGTCAAGAAAAATAAATAAATAAAAATACAGTGTATATACCTTAATTTTAAAAGTACTTTATTGCTAACAAAATGAGCACATGCTATTGGGAAAATGGCACCAATAGACTTGTTTGATGCAGGGTTGCCACAAGCCTTCAATTTGTAAAACACAAAAAGTGAACACAATAAAACAAGGCATGCCTGAATTAGACATGCTGCAAACTTTATGACTGCAAAAATCTCAAAGATCCCATGAAGCTCCTTTTAATGGGACTTAAGAATTAGTTATTCGGAAATAGAGCTAAATATGTATTTTTCTTTTTCAGAAGGCAATATTTATTCTATTCACATAAAAACCCAAATTTTTATATAGAGGAAATTGACTATTTAAAACTCATAGTCTTCCTGTTTTAAGTTTAAAAGAAGCATTTTCACCATTTTTAAAATTATTTTCAAATATTTAAGGCAAAAAGAGTGTTACAAGAGATATATTAATCTTTGGAAAAGGTGTGAATAGTGCTTAAAATATCTTGTAATTCATCTTTCTTTTAGTGGATTCTTGCGAGTGGTCTTTGTACCTAAAATAGAGTTTTCTTTTAAGCCTCCACAGAAATAGCCACCCAAAATTTCCAGTGAGTAAAACCAGGATTCATAGAAGAAACTGAGACAAATAAAGTTTAAACGATTCCATTAATCAAAATAGCTAAAAAATATCTGAATTATAAATATTAGCATAATATAGCAAAAAGTACAATTAGATTGGCTGGATTTTTTCGGTGATTAAATGCTATACAATATCTACAAGTATTTTTGTACATGTACAATATCTCCATAAGAGAAAATAGCATATAAAAATTTTAACCTAAAGATAAACACAATCTGCTTGCATGAGGATTCAGCTTTACTAGGTGCATTACTAAGAGAACCTAAGAATATATGAAGCACATTTATTTGACTCTATTGATGAGTTTTTAAATGCAATTTTTTAAAAACTGCCTCCCATATCCAAATTATCCAACTCGTACTAGAGCTTTTAGGTAGCCATCTTTTTTCCTCACTTTTTGAAAAAAAATTTGCTGTTGACATACATGAGACATATACAGTTTATGTTTACAGGTGGAAAAGTACCACCTATGTAGCCATCACTCAGCTTAAGAGAACACTTACCAGTACCTTTCTCACTTTTACTTATAATCTATCCAATAAAGATACACAGATCTGTAGGCGGTTTGATAAATCTAACAAATGTAAACACTCACGTTACCTCACTGAGATCATACTGTAAAACATTTCCATTACCCCAGAAAGTTCACTGGTGCGTCTTCCAATACCCCAGAGGCAACCACTGTACTATTTGCCATCGCCATATTATAGTAACGTCACAGAAATGGGATCATATGGTACATGCTCTCGTGTCTGCCGCCTTCTCGCAACATAAGGTTTTGAAATTTATCCATGTCGCATATCTCAGTAATGAGTAGTAATTTATTATTGAGTAGTATATTGTACAAATTTGTTTATTCATTCCCTTGTTGGCCGTATTTGGATTGTTTCCAGTTTGGGACTGTTGTGAATAAACATGCTATGAATATGCAAGCCTTTTTTGTGGACATATTTTTTTCATTTCTCTTGGGTACATATCATGGAGTACAATTACTAGGTGATAGAGTAGGTGCATGTTTTACTTTATGAGAAACTAACAGTTCTCAAAAGTGGTTGTACCATTTTATACCTCTGCCAGAAACCAGTAAGAGGCCCAGTTACTCTGTATCCCCATCTGTTTTGGGTATTGTCAGTCTTCAATGTTAGCCATTCTAGTGGATGTATAGAGGTAGGGGTATCGTATGGTTTTAATTTGCATTTCTCTGATTAATCAGTTTGAGCATACCTTTTCATATGTTTATTAGCCATTGGTACACCTTATTTTGTGAAACATCCAAGTATTTTGCCCATTTTTTATTGAGCTTTTTATTGACTTGTAGAAATCCTTTATAAATATTCTGCATAAAAAAAGTCCTTTGTTAGATACAGTTGTCATGGATGTTTCTGACCCAGTGTGTGGCTTGCCTTTCCATTTTTCCTTTTTTTTAGAGATCAGGTCTCAGTATGTTGCCCAGGTGGGACTCCAGCTCCTAGGCTCAAGTGATCCTCCTCTCTCCTCAGCCTCCCAAAGTAGCTAGGACTACAGGCATGAGCCACAGTGCGTGGCTCCATTTTTCTGAGTGACCAGTTTCCTCACTTTTTAATACCACTTTTACACTGCCATGATTTTCTCATATGTTTAGTGGATATCTTAACCAGTGCCCCAAAAAACAATTTTTTACCTTTAACAATACCTTTAAGTCTCTTGGAAGCAGCACCTCTATACCTTTTAAAGTTATTAGTATTTAACTATAAGAAGTTTTATTTAAAACCCCTTCCCAAATTAACCCTCTTATTATTTCTTGACATCTTTTCCGTATTGTCTAGGTTGTAGAACAACTTTATGTAGTTCCTAATACTATTTGTTTCTTGGTTTTTTAAGTAGAGTGTGGATGGTCATGAAAAAGCCCAGAGCCATAGGTGCACGTGGTGGAGGTAGACGAGCTGTCTGAAATATGTCACGGGGCACAGTTTCCAGCTCCTCGTGCTGACTCGTGTATCCATGAAGTCAACCCACACACTCTCAGTGAGTCCATGTGGTGTGCCAGGGCCTCTGTCACTTGAGGATTTACACAGCATTTACCCAGGGTCACCAGATCTTAAACTTCTTGGTCATAGGACCCCTCTGGACCCCTGAAG